AAAAAAAAAAAAAAAAAAAACAGGACAGTAATATATCATGTACATACTGAGTAGAAGCAAGACTCTAACAGACACCCACTTGAAATCTATAATAAAACACTGAATTCTTCATATTTTTTCGCCTTTGAAGCAATCTTTTTTAAAATTCTTTTTAAAAAGAATTATTTAATTTTATTTATTATTTTTATTTTATATTTTGCTACAGAGCACATGAGCTCACCAGAGAGAGAGAGAGAAAGCAAGCCGCGAGGTCTAGGACTCAAATCATGGTCAGCTATGTGGGAGTGCAGTGCCTTAACCACTATACCACCTGCTGGCCCCAAAGTGATTGTAACAAAGAAATTTCAGCTTATGTTTATGGTAACCTCAAGAAGTCCAGTGTTTAGCAATTACTAGTGAAATTTACTGGCAATACATTTTAGATTCATAATTCAGATACCAGGGGTCAGAAAGTGATGCAGTGGTAACACAACTAGGCTCACTTTAGAAGGTCCTCCCGAGGCCTGCCTACACATGATGAGTGTGTGCACATACGCATGATCTGGACTGGCTGAGACTGCGGTGGATCGTGGCATGGGATGCCCCTTCCCATTTCTCTTACAGAAGAAGTAAATATATTTTAAAAAATAAGTTAGATACTAAATATTGGTGGTGGTTCTTTTTCCACTTAATACAGAAGGGAGTGCCTTCAGAAAGTTCATGGAAAATAGTTACTTTGAATACTATGCTTATATTTCAAAATGTTTTGCACCAAAATAAATACATACTTTAATTTTTTTTTTATTTATCATAGTATACATGCTCATGAAAGAGGGAGAAACAAGAAAAGCAACCTCCACAGAGTTTGGTCATACCATGATCCCCTTTTTCTAGTCCTTCAGCCCACACATGAGTTTTGAGGCTCATGAGTCTCAAGAGTTGAACTACAGTTACTGTGTAGCCTCCAGCTCCATAAGCTGGCACATTACAGTCTATACCACAAAGGCTAGGCTTAAACTTGGACTTTAATTTCATTTTTCTACAATGAATTTCCCTTGTATTAGATTTTTGAGGATTAAAAAAAAAATTTCCAGGGGGTACAGGCATTCATCAGAGACACACACACACACAGAAAGAGAGAAGGAGAGAGAGAGAGAGAGAAGGAACACTATATATATACTGCTAAATGGAGTATGTACTCACAGGAGAGAGACAGAGAGGGAGAAAAAGAGAGAGAGGGAGAGGAGAAAGTACTCCCCCCAAGGGGCATGGGCATGCTGCAATCCCTTCTCATTTTTCCCTCTTGTCGGGATGCTGGGCATGCACACCTAAGTGCCTGGGGTGTTTCTCAAATCACCTGGTTCCAGACTCAAACTGCAGAGTTGGCCATGTGGAATCCAGCTGCCTTAACCACCGGGGCTTGGTCTGGCCTGAAAACAAGAACTAGTCTTTCAATCTTCCCACTTATTGCAAAAAGATAGTTCACCTATGACTTTAATACTTGCTCATCAGTCTCTTCAAAGAAGTAAGAAAGGGCTCAGGTTGTGAGGAGTTGGGCTGAGGGCCAAAATGCTCTGTGTGATCTTTGAGACCCAACAACAGGCAAGTTCAAAGCTTACCAGGCAGGTCTTCAGGGGATGCTGCTCTTTTTGCACTCGATCTGGTCAACAGCCAGTGCACTACAGTTCTCTAGGAGGTGCAGGCAAGGACTTAGGCCAGCCGAGTTCCTATGCACACCTGCATTCCTAGTCTAGCCACCGCCATTTGGAGGCCTCCTTATCAGAGCCATTGGTGGAAGCATTTCTTTTCTGTACTGTGACTCAGCACCTTTCCAGTCCTACCCCTTTCTCCATACCCACTTCTCCCCTGGCCCATGGTTCCATAAAGATACAGGAACATATTGTTCAGGCTCCTTGGTGGTGAGAGTCCCTCTACCTGTGCTGCCTGTACTTGACCCTCACCTAGTTCCCTCTGGCGAGGAAAAAAGTGGAACGGTGGGAGCAGGTGCCTCTTTTTTTCTCTTACTTGTGCTGCTGTAGTTCAGGAAACAAAGGCTTGACTGCCACGTGAAGTTCTGCTCCTTGTCCTAACCAACCACCCTGATACTTGATCACTTAACAGATTGAAGTTGGTAACCAGGCAGCATATTTCACTGAACTAAATAGTATCACTTCCAGCCAGCTGGTGGGGCATGGTAGTTAGGGCAGCCAGAACTCACATGGCTAACTACATGGTTCAAGTCCCAGACCCAGTGGCTTGAAAAACATGCCGGGTGTGTGTATATACAAGCCCAAAATACCAGAGGAGAAATGAAAAGAGATTGTGGTGTGATCATCCCTCAACTCCATCTCTCTCTGGGGAGCACACATGCACCCTATAGCAACAAAAGTATCATTTTATTTGTATTGTAATATTTTTACTTTCACCTGTCACACTCTACTATGGCAGAAGGCATAGGAGTTCTCTTTCTGTCATGAAATGTCTTCCAACAGTAAATTTATTTAAGTAAAATACAATGAGTGACTTATGTGGAAATACTAAGAGTAGCTATGGCACAGTATTAGGAAACATGAGGATACAGTGCTAGAGTGTCCACAGGTGGAGAAAACTGGTATAGTTCAACGCTTCAGGAATACTTGGCCTTCAGGGGACAGGTGACAAACAGTGCCTGGACTGCTCAAGCTGCTGTCTGCTGAGGGTGACAAGAGCATACTTACATCCCGTATTGCTTCATAGAGTGCTCTGAAAGTTGGCTGCTTGTCGTCATGGTAGACACCTCGGTTCCCATGCAGAACAGACACACCTTCACGCTCAGCCTCTTTGCAGTTGCTTCCGTACATGCAGTGGTCGGGACGGTAGTTCCACTGGCAGGGAAACACATAGAGATACTCTGGTGGTGACAAGAGAAAGACAGACATGTGTCCACCGTCAGAGCCAGCTCTCCTCTGCATGTCTGACAATTAACTGGTATTTACATAAACTTTACACCTCACGATTTCAATGTACAGAAGCATAACTGTGACTCACAGACCAAATTTCACACTTGTCAAAATTCTGAGGTCAAGAAGGGGCACATTGGATCAGTATGATGAAAAGACAGATACACTCCCGGGTTTACTGCAGCACTATTCACAGTAGTCAAGAAATGAATTAATCTAACTGCCCAACAAGTGATGAATAGACAAAGAAAATGTGGCATAGCTATACAATGGAATATTATTCAGTCACAAAGAGGGATGAAATCCAGGCATTTTGAGGCACATGGACTAACTGAGAGGAAATAAAGCTAAGGTACACATAAAGACATACAAAGAAAATTTGCTTACAAGTTCAAGGTTTTAGAGGTCTCCAGAAGATAGATGGGCAAAGAACCCTAGCGCTCGACCTTAAATGTAAAATTGGATTCCAGACAGAATTTAGTTATTTTCTTTTTTAAAAAACAATTAATTTTACTTATTGTCATTATGTTATCTTATTTTATTTTTCAAAGCTGACCAGAGAGAGACAGAGAGGGAGAGGGAAAGTGAGAAATCAAATCTCCAGGTCTGGCACTCAAAATGTGGTCAGCCATGTGGGAATTCAGCTGCTTTAATCACCACACAACCTGCCAGCCCCAGTTCTTACTTTCATATCTCCTTCTTTCAGAATTTTCCAGAACGAGTGACAAAAACTATATGGTGCATGTAATTGAAATAAACATTCATTCATCAGGTTATGGCACTGATGTCACTGGATGATGAAGTGCTACCCCTGCCCTGGGGAATTTACCCTGTTGTAAAGAAGACAGTACATAGTGTGGTCAAAATGAATGTGTTTATTAGGGTTCACAGAAAGGGGAGTTCATTTCTGGGGGGTGAGATGAAAGGAAGTTTTAGTAGTTTCATTAACATTCAGACTTTTAGTAAGGATGGATTTTGACACTCAGAGGACTAGAAGAGCACTGAGGAGGAGGAAATGGCCCAATGATGGTAAAAGGCTTGGAAATCAGAGTGTGTTTTAGAAAAGATAAGCCAGGGCCAGCAGGCGGCATGGTGGTTAAGGTGCTGGACTCCAACATGGCTGACCATGGTTCGAGCCTTGAACCTTGGAGGCTTGCTTTCTTACCATGCTTCTCTCTCTCTGCCTCTCTCTGGTGAGCACACATAGCCTACAACAAATTAAGATAAATACATAAAATTAAATAAATAATTCTTTTAAAAAATATAGAAGATAAGCCACATTAGGTTCACACAGGCTGGGTAAACTCTTCAAAGGGAGAAACCAAATGGGGGAAAGTCATCATATAAATACATTGCTTTGACCATTTTGTCAAGAAATAGAAACCTACATTGGATTGCAAATAATCAACTTTTGTTGTAGTTTGTGAAGCAAAGAAAAATCACAACCAGCTAACCAAACCTAGTTTGCTCCTTTGGAAAGAGATGGGGTTGCTCTTAAAACCAGAGGTAAAGTAGTACGAGGACAGGAAGTGGGAGCTGTAGGGTGGGGATGAATCAATTTCAGCTTTTCAACACTGCTGCCAGGATAAACCAGCACTGGGCATATGTGTGCCCAGGATCTGGGGCTGGATGAAGCTGGGGGTAGACTGTGGTGTTGAGACCCTGTTGAGGTTTCTCTCTGTCTCTCTAACTCACAGAGTAAATAAACAAACTTTTTTTAAAACCAGAAATGGGCCAGCAGGTGGCTTGGTGGTCAGGAAGCTAGAACCCACACAGCTGACTCTGTGGCTCGACTTGGGTACTAGCAGTTTCGGGACCAGAGAGACAGAGAGAGAAAGAAAGTGAGAAAGCACAATCAATAGGAGATGACCATACCACAATTCTTTCTCCTCCATTTCTCTCTTCTTTCAGGATCTGGGGCACACATGCACGTGCCTGGTTGTGTTTTTCAAGCCACTGGGTTTGGCACTCAAACCGTGCAGTCAGCCACGTGGGATCCAGCTGCTTTAAGCACAAGGCTACGGGTGGTCCTTCTCAATTTTAAATGGATAAAGCAGCTCATTATCTGATTATGAGTCTGAAATCCTTTAGTAATGCCTTCAGGAGTCTACATTTGTTTTTATAGAGGCTTTTGCCTTAGGGTGCATGTGCTTGCCAGAGAAAGAGAGAGGAAAAGTGAAAAATCACCCACATCACAATCTCTTCTCTATTCTCTGTCCAGGATCTTGGGCATGCATGTACATGCACCTGGTATGAGTTTCAATTCACCGAGTCTGGGACTTGAACTGCGATCAATTATGTGGGAGTCCAGCGATATAACTGCTATGCCATCTGCTGGCCCTAGGAGTCTACATTACCAGAGCCTCCCAACTGCTTTCATAGTATCATATAACTTGATAGCTCCTTACATTTCAGATTATTTCATACTCTTTTTCTTTTTTTAAAGAATTATTTTTATTTAACTTTACTTATTTTAATTTGACCAGAGAGAGACAAAACGAGAGAGAGAGAGAGAAAGTAAGCCGCCAGGTCTGGGACTCGAACTGTGGTTGGCCATGTGGGAGTGTCCAGCACCTTAACCACCACGCCACCTGCTGGTCCCCAGATTATTTCATACTCTTGAGGTCTCCAACACTAGGGACTAGTTTATTTGAACTTCCTGGCAAGATAGTTTTGCTACTTGCTTGCTGCTCAGTATCAAGAGAATGAAGATTGTACTAGGAAGCGTTTATTTTTTATTTTATTTTTTTTAATGTCCCATCCTAGAACTGAGTTTTCCCAGCATTCTTCTTTCTTTTTCCAGAAAAGGGCAACTGGTTCTTAGAAGACTTTTTTGGTCACACAATCTAAGGAAGGTCTTCTATCTCAGCAGCCTGGCTAGTCTCTTATTTATTTACGTTCCATTGATTTATTTATTTTTTACATTTTCCCACAAACATTTACTCTACATATCAGAAAGTTTTTGCTTATACTCCATAGTTCTTGACAGTTAAACAACTTTCAAAATTTCAAAAAACTGAATTTTAAAGATAATTGAAATATTTGTTATAATTTTGTTTGTGATTCTATAACAACAGAGACAGTATGTTTTTAAATATTTTTGAGAAAATATTTACATGTCAACTACCCAAACTGTTGCAATTCACACATAAACTTTCTCAGTTCAGCCCTGCTTACCTAGTATTCTGCTAGCAAAGATCAGTCTCTTTTTCTTCCTTCAAAGTCTTCCTCAAGGTAATCCTCTGGTTGCGACTGCTCTTTTGCAATCTCTACTGATTATAAGCTGGGCTGGAAAAGTCCCAGTTATTTTATGGTACAAATTATTTCATATGACTTTTGTAATCCTCTCTGCCAGGCAAAACTATTTATGGTACTAGGCTATCTTTCCAAGAGCTTCTATTGGCTTTCTTGAGATCTACCTTAGTTCCATAGTTTTCTGGTTTAATCTTCAGATATGACATTCCAGTCAAAGCCCTGTGCAATAATGAGTACTTAAAATATCTGATTCAAGGCAGCAGGTACTATTCAACTTATGCAAATAACCATTCTGCCACAAATAAGAATACTCCCAAATATTTTCCAATTCCAGAGGAGTCAGGAAGGGAGAAAAGCTTGCTTTGATTTAATGAAACAAACAAGACAAAACATTCTAACAAATTACTGAACCTATCAACAGCTCAAAAAAAAAAAATCCTTAAATTGGGAAAACAAAGCATAGTAAAAAAATCAGTAATGTTTTATTCAACAATTGTAAAATTATTTTCACCAGTTCAGTCTTACGTAATTAATCTCTCTTCTGCAGTGTTATCATGGTCTGATCTTTCTGTTTAAATCCTGGAAGTTAACATTCAATGTTATTAATGATATTTCTTGTCCCTAGCATTAAGTTGGTCATTTTCTAGGTTGCTTTTTGTTTTCTTATTTCTGTAAGTGTCTTCAGTTTTCCTGGTAAAGCACTCCTTTCAGAACTTCTTGAATAGCTGGTCTGGTGTTGGTAAATTCTTTCAGGTTTTGTTAATCTGAGAACGTTTTTCTTTTTTCTTCCCATATGAAGGATAATCTTGCTGGGCATAGTATTCTTGGTTGAAACTGTTTTTCCCTTAACACTTTGAATATATTTTCCCATTCTTTCCTTGTTCACATTGTTTCTGATAAGAGGTCTGATGTTAGCCTGATGGGATAACCTTTATAAGTAACCTGACGGTTCTCTCTTGCCATTGTGGTTTTGGTCAATCTGGCTATGATGTGCCTTGAAGATCTTCTTGGGTTGATTCTATGTGGGGTCCTTTGTATTTCTTGGGTCTGGATGTTTGACTGTCTCTCTAGATTTGGAGTTTTCTTCCAGGATTTCATGGAATAGATTATCAACGCCCTTACTAGTTTCTTCACCTTTTGGGATACCAATTACCTGGATGTTTGGTATCTAGTATTCTGTCTTTTTTTTTTTGGTTATTTTCTCAGTTATTTTGGTGACTTTTTCTAGGTCAGAGGTTTTGTCTTCAACATCTGAGATTTGATCTCCTACATGGACTAATCTGCTTTTAATACTTTTGAGGGAGATTTTGATTTGCTGTACTGCAGCCTTCATTTCTTTTTTTTTTTTTTTCTTTTTTTTGGGGGAGAGGTTTTTGCTATAGTGTACGTGTGCTCGCCAGACAGACAGACAGACAGAGAGAGACAGAGAGACAGAAAGCGAGAAATCACCTCCCGGGGGGATGGCCAAGCAACAATCCCTTCTTCTCCATTCTCCTCTTGGGATCTTGAGCATGCATGGACACGCGCCCAGCATGAGTTTAAGCAACTGGGTCTGGGACTTGAACCGTGGTCGACTACAAGAGTGTCCAGTGGCATCGCCATTATGCTAGCTACTCGTCCCTGCAGGTTTCATTTATAACAGCTCCATTTGATTCTTTTTTATGGTGTGTATTTCCTCTTTCAGATCCTCATCTCCTGGAACTCATTGTCTCTTTTCTCCTACATCTTCTGGAGGTCATTGTCTCTCATCTCTTGCATCTTGTTTAATTTTGTCACTGTGAATATTCTGCATTCTCTATTGGAGATTTCCAAGAGTTCCACTGCACTGTCTATGGATGATGAGGGATTGTTCTTTTCCCTTAGAGGATAAATATTTTCTTGGTTTTTCATATTTCTTGTGCCTCTGCAGAGGTTTCTGGTCATTCTGTGACTAAATCTCTCCTCTACTGTGTTTTGCAACATGGTATCCACAGAAAAATTTTGAGTTCAGATTTATAAAAAGGAGTGTCTTCTTTAAGGCAGGAGGTTCAATAAGTATTGAGGATTTCAATGACCCTATCTCAGTGTATTGGGGTCTAAAAGGTGGGGTTTAGAGCACAGCTTCAGTCACCCTGGTCCCTGAACGCTCCAGCACACACCTCAAACTTAAAATGACTTCTGACTCAGTGTTTCCGGGATCTTGGACATGGCTTTAAGACTTCAAGAATTTATGCCAGCTCGTTTGTCCTTCTCCTCAGGCTCCTCTCTGGGAGAAGTGCAGTACCCTGAGAAAGAGCCATGATTCCCAGTTGCTGGGAGAGAGCAACAGACGACAAAGGGTCCCAAGGGTACCTCACTTGGTCACTTGCTGCTCCTGGAGGGTTACTGGAAGCTCTATTTTGGATCTAGTTTCTGATGCCAAAACTGGAGGCAGCGGCTTGGGCATGCAGAGTGGCCTCTGCTCCCCGAATGTGGCCATGGATGAGGAGCGCGCCCTCTACATCGTCCAGGCAGGCAAAGCGGGGGCTATCAAGCGGGGGCTATTGAATGGGTCCTGAGGGATTATAGAGACAAGGTGAAGAGCCCTGGCCCTGGGCATGTGGTATCACACCCTAGGCTGCCCTCCATGCTTGCACAGCACATCCCCTCCTACTCCTTGTCATCAGTCTGGTTAGTCTCTTCTGCAAACCTTCGTCTGTTTCCTTCATAACATTTGTCACAATTTATGATTTTGAATTACTTATTATTCTTTGGGAGTCTATCTCGTCCAAAAGAAAGTGTGTTTTGTGAAAACAGGAACTTTTAAAGTTTAGTAATTTATTTCCAGAGAGAGAGAGAGAGAGAGAGAGAGCGCAAAAGAGAGAGAAAACAGGGTCCCACACTACGATCTACCCCTAGTCTCAACCGGCTCAGATGAAGGGCATACATATCCGTGCCTAACATGTTCCTGGAGGTCCTGGGAAGTGAACACAGGATTTTTCCCATGTGCCCTAGTTGCATTAACATACATCACCACTTGGACCCTGAAACCTATGCGCATTCATCCAAATGCATCTTTCTAAGCAGAGTTCTCTTTCAGCTTTTGTCAGATTTATGCCTTCTACAGAAATCTGCTCTGATTCAAACCCACCTGTCCAGATCCACATCTGTTTTGTCTTCCACCCCTTGAAGAAGCTGCCTTGGGTCACCTGCCGTGAAATGTCCCATATGAGGGGCCACCTGCATTTCCCCCAGGGGTTCTGTTGTATCTTTTTGAGTTAGTCTATTACCCAGCACTACAATTACACAACCACATACCATCTTATTACAGCAAGTTTTAAAGCATTTTAAAGCTGAAGACTTTTAAACACTTTTTAAAATGTGTTACTGGCTACAGGGAGCTATGATAAGAATAGCATTCCAGACACGTGCTACAGGTTTTATGAGCCTTGCTTCACCCATGGCAACCCAAAGAACCATATAATAAACATGCTTATCTGCAGTGTCATGGCCAGTATTGTCTCCTTCTCTTTTTTAGGGACAAAGGTTACAAATCTTTTTTTCAAATGTAGTTTGTGCTAGATTATAGAAGATGCTTAAAATCAGTATAAATGAGGAGAAGCTTTCCAATATGGTGGATATTGCTAGGTTTCAGTAGAAAGATCTCATGTTTAATATTGTACACAAGGAAAGTGTGAAATGAAGACCAAATGTCAGCCACACCATCAAATGTGGGTATCTGTTTGATGCTGCTCAGAGGCAGGGTTTAGAATAACCTCATTATTACTTTACCATATCCTTTTATGTAACGGGGCTAAGATGGGGAGTGCAGAAGCAATTAAACTTGGCTGGTTTCAGCCCCAATTAAGGACAAGGGGCTCATGGGTAACCGAAAGCTGCTTACGACTACCTTCGAGTATTTACTCACCGATCACGTCCTCAAATAATCTGCGACAGGCTAAGAGGATTGCTGGGGTGGCAACTGTGAGACTCTTTTGAATTCCTCAGTTTGGGAATACAGAGAGGTTTGCAGTAGATCGTTTTAGCCACATGATAGAGAGGAAAATGCATTCAAGGACAGGGGCCCAGCTGCGGGGGCCCAGAGGTAGCCAGTGCTCTGTGATGCTGTGCCATATGGAAGACAGGGCTAGGTCCTGAGCTGAACCTGGACACACCAGGTGCTCACACCGTGCCCATGGTCTCCTGGCCGGCTAGGAAGACTGAGGGGGGCTTACCGGATGAGAATCTGCTGAGGGTGTTTCTCTCTCTCTTGAAGTACATAAGCTTTTTTTTTTTTTTTTAAAGGAAAGAAATAATGTAGAGAAAGGTACTCATTGGGCTGTCTGCCCAGCTCTCTAGGACCCCTGGATCTTTTGTGAATTCCCCTCTTGTCCATCTTGGCTAGAGTTGGAGTGTCTGGGTTTGTACTCCTGTGCAGACATTTATTAGCTGTGTTGCAAATAATTTAAATCTTCCCCTTGACATCTTCATCTGACACCTGGGGATTATATCTCAGGGTTGTCGTGAGGATTAGGTAAAATAATGCTTACAATAGCACCTGTCACCTAGTAAATGACAAATGATGGCCATTATTTCACAGCCCCATGTTGCAGGCCTCGCTGATCCATGCCGGAACCATTTGATTTCTCCCCTGAAGACTCAGAATTGGGATGAATTAGTCTTCCTATGTGGTTGCATCCAAAATCTTGGTAATGTTCTTTGAGGCCTGAGCGTAGTGAATGAGAATCTTCAAAGAGAAGAATAAGTGGCTTCGATGGGAGAAAGTAACTCTGACCTAGCTGCTCGTTGTTTTCCCTCTCCTACAGCACATCTTGCACTGAGCCTGCTTACCTTCCTACTCCTGATTTCTCTTTTTACATTAAATTTAATATTTTAGCTATAAGGCACGTGCATTCACCAGAAACACACAGAGAGACAGAGAGACAGAAAGCAAGAAATCACCCTCCAGGGGGATGGCCAGGCCACAATCCCTTCTCCTCCTTCCTCTTGGGATCTTGGACACACATGCACATGCGCCCAGCGTAAGTTTAAGCCACTGGGTCCGGGACTCAAACCACAGTCAACTATATGAGAGTCCAGTGACACAGCCATTTCGCCAACTGCTAGTCTCAATTTCTCTTTTTTTAAAAAAAGTATTTATTTAATTACAGTTATTATTACTATTTCTTAACTTGGCCACAGAGAGAGAGAAAGAAGGAAAGTGAGAAAGCAATCTACCATGTCCAGGACTTGAACCACAGCTGGACATGTGGGAGTCAGTGCCTCAACCACCACACCACCTGCTGGACCCCTTGCCCTTGGTTTCTATGAGATACAGATCTACTTATTAAAAAAGTATCCAGGGCCAGCCTGTGGCCTAGTGGTTTAGGGAGCCAGATCCCACATGGCCAACTGCTTTTCCCCCTCAAAGATCTTTTTCAAGGAGAAAACATAGATTTGATTTAAATGATATTAAATAATTTTTATTTTAGCAAAGAAAAAAAGAGAAAATGACAATTTTATTAGCTTTAGGTGTTAATATAAAAACACAGGCCAGGGCCAGCCCACGGCTTGGTGGTCAGTGCAGCTGGATCTCATGTACCAACTGTGCAGTTCCAGTTTCAGACCTAGGATATGTGGCCCCAAAGTCCTGAAAGGAGAAATAGAGGAGACAGGATGTGATGTGACTGTTGCCCTTTAGGGGTGCTTTCTCACTTTCTCTCTCTTTCTTTTCCTCTCCATTAAGTACATATGCCTTCTAGAAAATTTAAAACAGGCTGGGCCCAGCCTCATAGACTATTGTTAAGGGAGCCAGATCCTGTAGGCTGACCACGATCCAAGTCCTGGACTTAGCAGCTTGAAAAACACATCAGGCACATGTATGTGTGTGCCCCAAATCCCGACAGGATGGAGAAACAGAGGAAAATGGATTGTGATGTGACAGTGACCCCCTGTGGAGGTGCGTTCTACGTCCACACCTCATCTTTGGTGAGCACGTGCGTCTTCTGGCAATTAAGAAAAAAACCGACCAGGAGTTTTCATTTCCCTTCTTTCCTGTTCCTACCAAATCACTGACTTAACAATATATGAATTTCTTTTACCCCAGATCAAAAGAAAAAAGGGATTTGTAGATCTGAATCCTCATTCTAGGCTGAACAAGTCACTCAACTCTAACAGTCATTTAACTCTACAGATCCTGAGAATCAATTCCTTTTAATCTAGCAATTACTCATGCTATGGAGGGTCTTGTGCTTAAATTATAATATTTTCATTCAGTTTTGTGCCTTACATCAAGGCTGACTGTACTTCTTAGAAAAATGGTGTGGCAAAGTCTAAATGATCCCTCTAAGACATGGAGTCCAGTGTTGGAGGTTTCCACGTTTGGCCTTTTGTGTCCATAGCACAAGGGCCCGCCTCTGCCAGATAGCAGGGGGCGGATGAAAGGGCGAACTTCACAGGGGAACACAGGCTCCTCTGTGCACAATACAGGCCCAGTCAATAGCAACCCAGGCCTGGAATGTGCTCTGCAGGGCGAGGTGGGCGTACTCCTACACAAATGGCATGCTGGAAGGAGAACCCACCTGGATTGAAATAAAAAATAATATTTAATAAATCCTGGTCTCCCCATGTGATGGCATTCTTGTACTGCTGGTACAGAGGGTACAGCATGTCCTCCCAAGCCAGGCCTGTTGGAATCAAGCTGTTCTGGAAAAGAGAAAACCATCAGGACAACTGAAGAAAAGCAAATGCATCTCACCCACTGAGAGACTGTATGGAAGGTTCTGGGTTTTTTTTCTTCAGAGGAATAAAGCAAGTAAAGGAGGGGTACTGCTCTCCTGAGGGCATAGGACAAAGCAAAGTTAGGGCCAGAGATGGTAGGTTTTGCAGATGGATACTGGATGGACCAGGAAGTGGTAGCTAGAGCTGTGTTTTCTACTCAGAAGATCATGCCTTAAGTTGAACCTCTTTCTTATGCTTTTCTCTTGTCTATGAAGTGAGGGAAGGGACCAGCAGTTAACATAATGGCTATGTCACTGGACTCCCATGTAGTCGACTGTGGTTCGCGTCCCGGACCTGGTGGCTTAAAACTCACGCCAGGCACGTGTGCGTGCCCAAGATCCTGAGAGGAGAATGGAGGAGAAGGGACTGCGGCATGGTCATTCCCCCTGGAGGGCGATTTCTCGCTGTCTCTCTCCCTCTCTGTGTCTGCCTGGTGAGCGCACGTGCCCTATCACAAAAACCTCTCTCAAAAAAAAAAAAAAAAAGAAAAGTGAGGGAACAAATTATAGATTGTAGAATTAAGATATTTTAAGGAAAACACCATTCCTTGTCTTAAAAATAATTATTTACTTTTAAAGTAAAAGCAACACATTCACAGACTAAAATATTCAAACAGCATGTAAAAATTTAACATTTAAAAATAAAAATGTTTTTCTTCCATTCTCCTCCAAATCCCATTCCCATTTCCCCCAGAAGCACCCACAATTAACAATGAGAGGTTTTTAGGCATTCTTCTGGGAATTTTTAAGGTATAAAAGTGATCAGACTCTACAGTATCATAATGTGGTATGTGGTTTTTTACTTACTATTTGTTAGAGATCTTATTATCTCATTTAGAAGATTACTTATTTTTCTGAATAAGAAGATAACTTTTTTTGGACTCATTCTCTACTGATATTCATTTAGGTTCTGCTAGGATGGAAGATGAGACCATGAACACCCTATACAAATATCCCTGTGCACTTATGTAAATATGTCCGCAGGGCAATTCCCAAGAAATTTTGCATGGTCTTTGAAGTCTTGGATGTGCATGGAGTTTAAACATTTGTGGGATCCCCAAATGCAACACTATATTTCTTTTCTGGTTTTTTTTTTTTTTTGGAGAGGTTTTTCTTTCTTTCGTTCTTTCTTTCTTTTTTTTTTTTTTTTTTTGCTATAGGGCATGTGCGCTTTACAGACATGTGCGCTTGACAGACAGACAGAAAGCGAGAGATCACCCCTCACCCCCCAGGGGGAATGGCCATGCCACAATCCCTTCTTCTCCATTCTCCTCTCGGGATCTTGTGTACACATGCACATGCACCCGGCCTGAGTTTAAGCCACCGGGTCCAGGACTCGAACTGCAGTCAACTACATGGGAGTCCAGTGACATAGCCATTGTGCCAACTGCTGGTTCTGCAACACTATATTTCTAAATGGTAACTCTGCTGAAACTTTAAAATCCATAGCCACCTGGGCTGTTCCTGAATAAGCAAATACATCCTAAGTTTCCAAAAACTTTTCTCTGGCCCCTTCCATCCTCACTGAGAGGCTACCTGTCCAAAATTAGCACATTGACATCTAGGACTGTCATGTTAGAAAGACTAACCCCCATTCTTTAAACAAGGAATGTTAAAACACTTCCTTACCTTGAACTGGGCACTTCTTATACGAGTTAGGTTCATTAACATGACTCCTGAATTAACTCCAGCAGTGCCGTAGAAAGGGTGCCGAGCAAAGCGGCTGTACCAGCCAATCTTCGGGATTTCGTGTTCTGGGGCCATGGCTGCAAGCTGGGTGGAATTAAACTGCCTCAGAAGTTTCCAGATGTCATCCACAGGTCTCAGAAAGAGAACGTCAGTGTCCACATAGAGAAGCGAATCCACATCCTTTAAAATCACCTTTGGTGTGTTTGGGGTGGGAGTGGGAGGGAAAAATAAGACAATAGAGGTCAGAAACAAAGGAAGTGGCCTAATATTAAAAATAATGCTTCGGGAACCAGCAGTTAGCGTAATGGCTATGTTGCTGGACTCCCACGTAGTCGACCGCAGTTCGTGTCCCGGACCCGGTGGCTTAAAACTCACGCCGGGCGCGTGTGCGTGCGTGCCCAAGATCCCGAGAGGAGAATGGAGGAGAAGGGATTGCGGCGTGACCATCCCCCCTGGGGGGTGATTTCTCGCTTTCTGTCTCTATGTCTCTCTCTGTCTGTCTGGCGAGCGCACGCGCCCTACAGTGAAAATCTCTCCAAAAAAAACGTGTGCGCTCTCCAGCAAGACAGAGAGAGACAGAGAGACAGAAAGTGAGAAATCACCCCCCGGGGGGATGGCCACACCGCAATCCCTTCTCCTCCATTCTCCTCTCAGCATCTTGGGCACACATGCACACGTGCCCAGTGTGAGTTTAAGCCACCAGTTCGAGACTTGAACAGTGGTTGACTACATGGGAGTCCAGCAACGTAGCCATTATGCCATCTGCTTGTCCCATTGCTGTTATTTTTAAATTTGCTATAGAGTACATGTGCTCACCAGAGAGAGACAAGGAGGGAAGGGGGGAGAGAGAGAGAGAGAGAGAAGGAAAGTGAGAAAGCAGGACTCAAACCATGGTCAGCCACGTGGGAGTACATAGCCTTAACCACCACACCACCCGCTGGTCCTGCCTCCTGTATGTATTGATTAATGTTGTGTGCTAGAAAGGGAACATTCTCAGATCCCATTCCTATTCTTTTTTTATTTGACTGATGTGTCAATCAAAGAATGGACACTTAAAAGAAGATAAATCTTGATCTATTTTGGCCCTATTCCAGGACCCTGGACAATATCAGGTAAAGGTTGAACTTTCAAAGGCATGAAAAATGAGCCAATCACTGGGTTCTCTTTCCTTCTTCCAGCCTCCAATAAGGCCGCCCGTCTTTCCGTCTTAATTTTTCTTGGGAACAGCCAGTTTGGCATTAGAGAATTTGAAGTGGACAATCTCGACACCAGCTCACGCCAAGCTTTGGGAGTAAACTCTCTGTCCCTGGATCAGCTTCTCCTAGTGCTGATAGTTATGGATCTGTGATATTTTTAGCTAAGACTTGAACTTGGGACTAGGTAAAGCAAGTCATTGACCAACTCTCTTGCTGAGTGGCAAACTGGAAGAATGGTAAAATCTTTGATGCATTATGAAAAGTTCATGGGGACAATGCCCCAAAGAAATACTCTGTTGGTGTTTCAGCAGTTGGCAACCGTTTTCCTCTAAAGGGCCAGATAGTAAATACTGTAGGCTCTGTTGCAAACTCCACTCTGCTGTTGCAGCATGACAGCAGCCACCAGCAACACGTACACGGATGACAGTGGCTGTGATCCAATGCAACTTGATTTGGACACAGTGAAATTTGAATTTCATATAATTTCTAGATGTCACAAAATACTCTTCTTTTGATTTTTCAACCCTTTGAAATGTAAAAGCCATTCTTGGCTCACAGGCTGTGATTTGTTGATCTTTGGCAAATTAAAAAAGAAAATAAAAGAGTTATCCATTTGAAAACAGTTGATTTCTTTGGGGCATTGTTCCCATAAACTTTTCATAATGCATCAAAGATTTTACCATTCTTCTAGTCAAGTTGCACAATAAATTTGATGTTTGTTCTTACTTCAATTGTAGCAGAGTTCATGTTGCTCTGATAGGGGCTCTTTTCAAGCTTATCCTTATGCCTCAAACTAGATCTGGTTCAGATATATTATTTTCATATATGTATGTATATGTGTATATATGTTTACCAGAGAGCGCATGTGCTTGCCAGAGAGAGAAAGTAAGAAAGCATCCCTGCATGGGGAATGGTCACACCACACAGTCACTTCTCCATTTCTTTCTTTTCGGGATTTTAGGCACACACACACATGTGCCCAGCATGTTCTTCACGTTGCCTGGTTAGGGCCTTGAAATGTTCAGTTGGTCATGTGAGATTCAGTTTCTTCAACCCCCAGGTCACAGCCCAGCCCTCAGACATGTTTTAAAAAGTTAGTACAAGGGCCAGTCAGTGGTGTGGTGGTTAAAGTGGCTAATACCCACATGGCCAATTGTGGTTCTAGTCCTGTACCAGATGGCTTGAAAAACATGCTGGCTCCAAGTGTGTGCATGCCCTGAATCCATTTTTTTGGGGGGAGTAGAGGTTTTTGCCCAGGGCATGTGCACTTGCCAGAGAGAGAGAGAGACAGAGATGGTGAGAGGGAAAGTGAGAAAACACCTCCCCGGGGGGCATGGCCACCTGCAATCCCTTCTCCTGCTAGGATCTTGGGCACACACACACACACACATGCCTGATGTGAGTTTTAGGCCATTGGGTCTGAGACTCGAACCATTGTCAGCCATGTGGGAGTCCAGTGACATATTGCAACGTCATCCCCCAAAGTCCTGAAAGGAGGCAGAAATGGAAGAGAAGAAACTGTGGTGTGACCATCTCCCTTGGGGGATGCTTTCTTACTCTCTCTCTGTCTCTCTGCACTCTGGCAGGTTTTAAAAAATGAACAAAAAAGTAGGAGTTTATTTTGGTGCAAGTAAACTTTGAAATCTATGTATAGCTTTTTTTATGATACTCATTTTTCATGAAGTTTCTGAAGACTTCTCATAGAGTACACATTATGGAGTGTCTACTAGATACCTGGTGTGACCAGCAGCGACCAAGACAGATGGAAATCTCTGCCTTTAGGGAAGAGTTAGCTAATGATCCAGGTAAATTGACTGATTATATAGAAGCAGGTGAAAAATAAAGAAGAAAGGACATCAGGAGTCCCAGGTGAGTGGCTGGGGAAGGGCTCACTGAGAAGGAGGTGAGCATGAGTGGGTAAGGCAGGCACGTGTCAGACACACTTCCAGAACAGCAAGGAGCTGGTGTGGCTGACCACGGCCGGCTATGGGAAGGAGAGCTGGAGATGAGGATAGTGAGGTAAAGGTGCGTGCTGGTCATTTAGGGTTTTGACGTTATAAGAATGTCAGCTTTGTAGGAAGTTTGGCTTTTACTCTGAGCAAGATGCGAGCCACTAGGAGGCTTCTAACTGAGCAGTGGCACGATCTGACTTAGATCAGAGACTCGCTCCAGATGCTGGGTGGAGAGCAGACTGTTAGGGGCATCGGAGAAGCAGAAAGACCACTGACGATGCGATGTGAACAATTCAGGTGAGAGGCGATGGGGACTCAGCCCAGCTGGTAACACAGGGAGTAAAATGTGGTCAGATCCTAAATATGGACTCAGAGAGAGCCAACAGGGTTTCCTGATGAGTTGGCTGTGGAATGTGATAGAACAAGAAATGTAAAAGGACAATTCCAAGGATTTAAACCTGAGCAACAGAAAAGCAACGGTCTTGCCATCTCATCTGTGCCATGTGTTCCCTGTGGGGTTCTTAAGGTACTGGAGTAGGCCCCGGAGATGCTGTAATGATTACATTGCTGGACTCCCATGTAGGTGACCATGAATTGAGGCCTGGACCCTGTGGCTTAAATTTCATGCCAGTGTGTGTGCTCAAAATCCTGAGAGGAGAATGGAAAAGGAGAATTGTCTGTTGGGGGTGATTTCTTGCTTTCTGTCTCTCTGGCGAGCACACGTGCCCTATAGCAAAAATCTCTAAAAAAGAAAGAAAGAAGAAAAAGAAAGGTACTAGAGTTTGCAGCTGCTGAAGACCAGCTCTCTCCCTCTTCAGGTACCCTCCCTAAAATGAAAAAGAAACTCATCATGGTTTTGGGAAGGGATACATTGACGGTGGGCTTTTGGGGAAGTGGTCATGTAGTCTAGTTCCTGATGGCAATGGTGGTCATGCAAGTGTGAGCTTGTTAATCAAACTCGGTAAACTTGCTCTTTATGGTATGCAGATCACATTCCAAAAGAAACACACAAAAGAAGCCCCAAGGGTACAGGTTGGAGAGATGAGAGAAGAAAATACTAAGGATTTAATATTCCCAAGTTCAAGTTTTATAACTTTAGACAATTGCAGTCTTTGTAGGTCTCACTTTCTCATCTGTAAAAAGCAGAAGGGCAGGGTCAGTCCTGTAGCACAGTGGTTCAGCTCAAGACATCAGAAGCTAGATCGCACATCGCTGACTGTGGTTCAAATCCAAACCCAGGTGGCTTGAAAAACATGCTAGGTGCATGTGCATGTGTGTCCAAAATCCCGACTGAAAGGAGCAATGGAGGGTAAGGATTGTGGTGTGATTACGCGCTGCTGAGAGAGAGTACTTTCTCTCTTTCTCACCCTCTGGCAAGTACATGCATGCATCCTCTGGCAATTAAAGAAAAAAAAGTGGAAGTCAAAACTGACATGAGACCAGCAGTTAGCGTAATGGCTATGTCGCTGAACTCCCATGTAGCCTACCTTGGTTTGAGTCCCGGACCCTGTGGCTTAAACTCATGCCGGGCATGTGTGTGCACATGCCCAAGATCCCGAGAGAAGAATGGAGGAGGGACCAGCAGTTAGCGTAATGGCTATGTCGCTGGACTCCCATGTAGTCGACTGCGGTTCGAGTCCCGGACCCGGTGGCTTAAATTCATGCCGGGCAGGTGTGCATGCGTGCCCAAGATCCCAAGAGGAGAATGGAGGAGAAGGGATTGCGGCGTGGCCATCCCCCCAGGGGGTGATTTCTCACTTTCTGTCTATCTGTCTCTCTGGCGAGCACACACGCCCTATAGCAAAAACTTCTCAAAAAAAAAAAAACAAAAACCGACACCACCCTCCTGGACTGTCACAAAGTAATGAAACACACAAGTGCTCAGTAGAGTGGCTGGTGCGTAGTAACTACTCAATAAATAGCACTTTTGTAAGAAGTCTCTGTGTTTTCCCTTTCAAAATGTCAAGTGGCATTAGTTAACTTGCATCAGTGCCACAGCACTTCAAAACATGCAAGGACCACAAAAAGTCTTTTATGTAGACAG